ATACAGACCCGGTAACCGGGAACAAAGTCACGAAGTATACAGACCCGGTAGGGGAACTCTTTTGTGATTTCGGGAAGTTTCAGACCTCAGACCCGGATCTTTTGTGTGTGTGTGTGTGTGTGTGTGTGTTTGTGTATGTGTGTGTGTGTGTGTGTGTGTGTGTGTGTGTGTGTGTGTGTGTGTGTGTGTGTGTGAGAGAGAGAGAGAGAGAGAGAGAGAGAGAGAGAGAGAGAGAGAGAGAGAGAGAGAGAGAGAGAGAGAGAGAGAGAGACTGTTCGATTGAAATTATGACATTGTAACTGGTTCTTTTCTTCCGATTGTGATTCCTCCAATTCCAAAACGGAGGAAAAACCATCGTTCATCGAAACGACATCCGCAATCTTCATTTAGATCAACGTTAGCCGCGAACCTAGAAGAAAGATTTATGTCTGTCCGCCTAGATCTAGACCTAGACCATAGATCTAGAAGAACCTAGGTCTACCCTGATTCAAGAGGGCGCTGAAACTCTCCGAAATCACAAAAGAGTTCCCCTACCGGGTCTGTATACTTTGTGACTTTGTTCCCGGTTACCGGGTCTGTATACACTCCCTTTTTTAAAATGGTTACGCTGACAAAAAACCTTTTCCGGAGGAAGGGGTGATCGTTTTCTTCGTTTAATTTGACTTTAGATTGAAAGACGAGAGGTCATTAAAATTTTAAAAAACTAAAACTCCGCACTGAACAAACACGAACTGCTGATGAACAGCGGTCAATCTGCGCACGCAAGGAGGTGCTATTCCTATTCTTCTTCTGGAAAAACGAAAGAGAGCTTCAGAACAGACTGCAGCGCCATCTGAAGCAAAGAGCAGACTTTCGGCGGACACTTTTTTGGCTGAGTGGACTATCTTACTACGTACTATCTTTGGCCTGGGCACACCAAAGATAGTACATAACAAGATGGGCCACTTCTCTCTTTGAGCCAATTAAAAAAGTGTCCTCAAAATTTGGTGGCGCCCTCTTCACAAAAGCGCACTCTTTGCGAACAGAGTTACCCTACTTGAGTTATAAAAAAGATAAGTGAAACTAGCAAGTTTTGGGATAAATTTCGGAAGAACGCTTTTTTAAAATGGTTACCCTGACAAAAAAACCTCTTCCGGAGGAAAGGGTGATTGTTTTCTTCGTTTAATTTGACTTTAGAATGAAAGGCGAGAGGTCATTAAAATAATAAAAAAATAAAACTCCGCACTGGACGTACCCGAACTGCTGATGAACAGCAGTCGATCTGCGCACACAAAGAAGTGCTATTCCTATTCTTCTTCTGGAAAAACGAAAGAGAGCTTCAAAACAGACTGCAGCGCCATCTGAAGCAAAGAGCATACTTCCTGCGGACACTTTTTTGGCTGAGTGGCCCATCTTGTTATTTACTATCATTGGGCACACCCAATTTAATACAAATCGATTCTTCTACAACAGCTCACAAAGTACAAAGGCCAAAGAAGGATTGTACCTTCTCGGTAGGCTATTTACGGTCTCTTGGCACACTCATCCCCTCCCTTTTTTTAACTCGGAGTCTCTCTGTATCTGTCGCTGTATGTCTACTCCCCCCCCCCCCTCTCTCTCTCTCTCTCTCTCTCTCTCTCTCTCTCTCTCTCTCTCTCTCAGACAGAGAGAGGCACGAGGGGAAACGTTTTTCCCTCTCGCGACCCCCCTCTTAGCATTTTTTTTGGGGGGTGTGAACACGTGTGTAGGCCTATACACATGTTATTTTAAAAAATAATACGAACGAAAGAATTAAAAGACAGGTGGAGGTTGTCTTTTAGACGTCTGCAAATAACACATTGGGGAGACTGTGCTCAAGAATCGAGTACTTGAGTACTCGAGTACCAAATAGAGTATTTGAGCCAAAGATAGTACATAACAAGATGGGCCACTCAGCCAAAAAAGTGTCCGCAGGAAATTCGCTCTTTGCTTCAGATGGCGCTGCAGTCTGTTTTGAAGCTCTCTTTCGTTTTTCCAGAAAAAGAATAGGAATAGCAGCACCTCCTTGCGTGCGCAGATCGACTGCTGTTCAGGGTTTTTTTTTTTTTTTTTTTTTAAATTTTAATGACCTCTCGCCTTTCATTCTAAAGTCAAATTAAACGAAGAAAACAATCACCCTTTCCTCTGGAAGAGGTTTTTTGTCAGCGTAACCATTTTAAAAAGGTGTTCTTCCGAAATGTATTCAAAAACTTGCTATTTCACTTTGATTTTTTAAACTCAAGTAGGGTACAACTCTGTTCGCAAAGGGTGTGCATTTGCGAAGAGGGCGTCACCGAATTTTGAGGACACTTTTTTAATTGGCTCAAAGAGAGAAGTGGCCCCTCTTGTTATGTGGACTCATTGTTTGAGCTGAGCGTTCGATCGAGTACACAGTTGAGTGTTTTATTTTTGGAAAGCACTATTCCCAGTGGCACTGGGGATAGGCCTAGAAATTATTCCCAGTATCACTGGGAATAGGCCCAGAAACTATTCCCAATGACAGGCCCAGAAACCACTGGCAATTGGGCCTAGAGCCTCGGCCTAGGGCAGAATTGTTCCCACTGTCACTGGGAATAGGCCCAGAAACTATTCTCAGAGACACTGGGAACAGACAGAGCCATTAGATCTATTGTTTCCACACTGATCTACATGGGCATGATGGTGATGGGTTACTAAATACTACTAGACTATATCTAATGCCATGCAGATATCTAGATCTAGATTCCAGCTAGATACTAGATCTAGATCTAACTAAACTAAAGAAGATTCTAGTGTGAGTGGAATATCTTTTTAAAAGAAAAAGGAATTATCAGTCTATGCTTGCTTGCTATTCGGTCGTAATTCATGTACGTGTAGATCAAGATCTACATACAGATTTTGGAGACCACGAGGAAGAAATCTTTCCCGATTCTTCTTTTTTTCTAGATCTAGATCTAGTTCTAGATCTATTCTACGGTCAAGTCTAAGCCCTCAGCTTAGATGTATACTATAGGCACTAAAAGGGGGTAACTCTATGGCCCTAGAGAAGAGAACAAAAGTACATATATATGTACCGAACTGAAGTGAGAAGAGAGTCTACAGTGCAGTGCAGTGCAAAGACTTCTGATTTTTTTTTTACGCAAAAGAGTTCCGTTGTCACTGGGAATAGTTTCTGTACCTATCCCCAGTGTCACTGGGAATAGTCACTTCGTTTATTTTTTTTTTTTATTATTTAGGCCTAGTCGGACTCGAGTCCAGGTTCTTTAAAATACCGGACTCGCACAATCCTCGATGAGCCTCACCCCCCCCCCCCCCTTCCACACACACACACACACACACACACACACACACACACACACACACACACACACACACACACACACACACACACACACACACACACACACACACACACATACGTGTTTTGAGGTCATTATGTGGACATTGCCCCAAACCTACATTATGTGGACACCCCATATCATCCAAAGTTATCGGTGGAATCAATCAATATTTGCAGTGTAAGTCCACTATACAAAAACATCATTGTCCACCAAATTTCAAGAAGCTACCTAAATTTTTAGTCCAGTATGTTTTTTTACTAACGTTAGTGGGACATTGCATTATGTGGACTTTACGACCTCCTGACCTTTTGCACAAAGGTACGCAAATGGTCCATTATTCTGTCCGCAGAAAAATTCGCGCCCGCAACCCGCAACTTTTGCCGTCAGCGAACTTTTGCCCAATTTTTCCGATTTTCGTGAATTCGCTAATTTTAGCCAATTTCCCGCAAAATTCGGAAAAATAATAAAATTTCATAAAAAACACCGAAATTTTCTTCCACGACTAAAAATAACGTCGCCAAGGGGGGGGGGGGGGGGGGGGGCAATTCGCTTCTTTACACTTTGAACTAGCCTACGGCGGGTGCCCGCCGCCGCCCAGTGACCCGGGTCAGGTCGGGTCGGGATGATCGCCCGACTCGTCGCCTGAAAACAACGTGTTTGTTTTGAAACAACGAGTCGATGTAAGATTACACTTTTGTAAGGTGAAAAAAATAATCAACGAAAATGGCAACGTAACTGTTTTGTTAAAAGCATAAAAAGAGAGTAACTCTACACTATTCACGTAGACTTAGAGTTCAGTTCGAGCGGAAAGCACAGCATTGTGGCGATACAGTGGACCTCGAGCGGCAAGCACGATATATGTCATCTCGCACTGGTAGATACCTGGGCTACATGACATTGACATGTAGATCTAGTCTTATTTTGATTATACGGGTGCGGTTAAAGTGGTAAAATGACACAGTAAGTTTTTCTGGAAAAGTTCCGATATTTTTATAGCGTATTGAATTACGTGTATTATGTCACATGTATGTGTATGCATGTTTTTCATGAATACCATAATTAATAATTTAAAAGTAAAGCACATAGAAGAGTGTTTGTACCACGGATTTGCCCAATATAAATGTCATATTATTATAAAGCGAAAAACGTAATATACGGGTTTGAGGGGGGGGGGGGGGGGTGTCGCAGGAAAGTGTAAAAAAAGTGTAAGGGCGGGAGGAGGAGGGTGGGCAAAAATTCCCAAACAAAGTGTAAGATTTTATTTGAACAGCCCCAAAACAACGCCGGCCACACCTGCCCAACGTCAGCGAGAGTTAAGGACCTGACGCATGTGTCAGGGGCACAGAATTCTACACTTAGGGGACAAACTTTTTTTGTACTACAAGCAATTTTTTTTTGGGGGGGTAGACATTCACATTTAACTTTTGATTTTGATCTAACAAAACTCATATTGGTTACTTTTGATTGCAATGAGCGTAGCAACAATACAATGTATTCCAATAGTTCCGTGGCATTGTTTTAGCTATACATACGCCTTGCAACTTTTGCTACTTTTTCTTGCAACTTTTTGCAACTTTTGCTATTTTCAAATGCAACTTTCTCTGAGGACAGATTTTTGAGACTTCCGGAGCATAAAAGGTTTTTAAAGGCTTTGGGTGCCTCTTATGTTTATTAATTCCCACATGGGTTGGGGATATATAAATAGACTCGCTGTCCCTGGGATCCATGAGCAACATCTTCTTTGGTGCATTTTCCTTTTCTCCATCCTTCTTTCTCCTTCCCCTTCTTCTATCATTTCTTCCACCGCTTACCCCGTGTGCAGCAAAACTAGAGGTCGTCCATCCCACAGAATGGGCGCCTCGTTGACCGTGGGGTGCGACCTGTGGAAACCGGGTAACTGGCAGTTGAAGTGAGATCAGTCTGCGGACTGTCCCTCGCCAACACACCTCTTTTTCCTCTTAGACGGGAGGGTGGGGCGGCCTATGCCACTCAATCGATTTGGAGCTGAAGCCCCTCCAGTTTTTCCTTGGGTCAATCTTGATGGGACGATCTAGTACACTTTCGTGGAGAGTATAACTCCGGAGTAGCTCTGGCTCAGCTCTGGTCATCCGAGCAATGTTTCCTCTGTTTCACTCAGTGGTGGGAGGGGAGCCCCGGAGTTGAAAAGCATTCCAACACACATTGAATCCCCAAAAACATTCTGACCCATCCCCAGTCCCCAACGATACAAAAAAGTTTCGGCTCGTAGAAGCGGGTGTAGCCACCGAGCCGAGCAGACAACCAGGAAAACCGACCTTTACGGCTGATTGTGCTCTCCCTCCTCCCAGGGAGCTTCCGGGGCAGCCGTACTTGACCATCCGCAATTTTGATGCACAGAAGAAGATCACAAATCCAACCCTTTTCATGACAGGAGATGCTTTAACACAGACACTGGGATACATCCCCGCCATCGACCAAAAACTGTCTTCTGGTGCACTCCTTGTATACGAAACAGAAATAACTGGACCCCTGTATCTCACGACCTTCCATGGTATTCCTGTGAATCTTGGAGACACAAGAAGTACAACTGCTTGAAGAGCGTCGTCCGCAGTCATGAGATGAAAGGCTGCTCTTCAGAAAAAATTGTGGCTATATTGTGAGGGTGTGGTCGAAGCCGCCAGATGACTCTTCGGCGGGGCGAGACCGCCCTTGAAAGGAACACAATTGTTTTGACTTTCGATTCATGCTGCCCCCCAGCCACTGTTCGGGCAGCATACTTGGTCCTGGACATGCAACCCTAAGTGCAAAACGCTCTGCGCTGCTTCAAGGGCCAGAAGTTTGGCCGTAGCCAGTCGTGATGCCGACACGCAGAAGTGTGTACTCGTCGTGGCAAGACCGGGCATCCTGAAAAGGTATGAAAGGCTAGTCCTTTCTTTCGTTCACAATTGCCACGGCCAACACTTGGTTCCAAGAAAGCACCATCCAAGAGTACAAAGCCCGAAATGGCTGCTCATTTCAGAAGCCTCGAAAGACTGTCTACCCGACAGTTATGACCCCGGTCCCTGGTCGGTTAAACGCAAAGGCAGTCCAGTCCGGCTGGTCTCGTGATCAGCCAGTACTTCTACTGCCAAACTCAAAGAGCCCGTGGTCAACAGGCGAAACTGCAATAAAAGCTAAGAAGGTCCCTCCTACTCCTGTAGTAACCACCTTCGAGGGGCCACTCGCCAACTGTTTCGGAGTTCTAGGGGAGGACGAGGTGGACTCTTCCTCCGTCCCCTCTTCTTCTCTCTCCCCACGCCCCACCCCTCTGATGGTGTGTGAGGTGCCCCCTCCCCCTCATCCAGCCCCTCCTCCTTCTTTCCAACTCCCTTCGCCCTACCTACCCTTACCCCTCCACCAGATATCCCCTCCCTTTGGAAGATGACACCTCCGATCCGGGAAGGAAGGAAGCCGTCACTCCCTCCCCAAGTCTCCCGGTTGGATGCTGCCCAATCAAGGGCGGCAGCCGAGCAAACCCTCTTCTTCCTCCACAAGGAGGAGTCAGAGCTCAGAGAAGACGGGACCTCTGTGCTCCAAATCTTTAAAAAATGGTCTAATGGCGGTCCTGCAGTGGAATGCCAGAGGACTCCGACCTTCCATTCTAAAATTGCAACACATACAGGTTACACTGTGCCCACTTGTGGCCTGTGTCCAAGAGACAAAGTTCGCCCCGGCTTCAAACATTGACTTAAAAATTTCTCATCATCATATTCACGCCGAGAACCAGACAGCTTCTGGTTGAACCACCGTCTACGATACATCGACAATAACACCCTCCACTGACAAATACATGTTCATCTTAGGACAACTAGGACAACCCTCGAGGCTATTGCAGTATGGGTCACCCTGATAAGACCAATCACGATCTGCTCCATATGTCCCGTCAAATTACCCCCTCAAAATTACCCAGCTTAATGACTCAAACACCAAGTCCACAGACCCTTTATCTTAGTAGGAGATTTTAATGTACATAACCTCATTTGGGGATTTTGGCAACAAGGAAAAAAACAATAAAAGACTTTTTTTAAATTTCAAAACAACATCTGCCTTTTAAATGGTAAATCCTCAACTTACTGAAACAAATCCTTAACACTTCATCCATCGACCTTTCTTTCTACTCCCCTGACCTGGTCCCAGATTTTGAGTGGTCTGTGCTGGATGACCGTGCGGATCATTTCCCAATATTTCTCAAGATCAATAGCCTCCAACACCTTCAACACGAACCGACCCCAGAGCGCTTTAACTTCAAAAAGCATACTGGGACGGGTTTGTTATTGGATGCTTCCATAATTTGAACCCCACTTTCAGCCTCAACTACCACTAATTTCACGAAACGATTCCAGAAATGTGTCACAAAGACATACCACAACCATCAGAAAAAACCCCCGGAAAACTAGGTACGGTTCTCTGGGGTGTGTGGTAATGTCATAGACCCCAAAGAAAAAGAAAGCAGCAAAAATGCTCCACCCCGAAGCCTCCATATTTTTCTGCGGAGGCCACTGCTATTGACTTGGCGTTAAACTCCGTAGAATATTCTCCCAAATTATCGTTTCTCATTCTGTCCGATGCCTTGTCTTGCCTCACTCCACCCACCAATCTTCTTCACTTCACCTTCTCCTATCCCGTAGACCGGATGTCCGTTGTGGCGCTATTGAAGATTTGGGCACCAGCTTCCTCCACTCCTTCCGCTCTTCAGATTTCCTGAGCGTGTCTTTGAGGTCCAGGCCTGTTTGTTCCCTGATTTTGTCCTTCCAACTCTCCTTCGGCCTGTCTCTGCTCCTTTTTCCCTGGACGCTGCCTTGCAAGATCATCTTGGTAAGGCCGGATGAACGGACGATGTGTCTATGCTATTGCAGTATGCATTTTATGACCAAAGTGAGAAGGTCAGGGTATGGTCCAATTGCATTTTTGATCCGTTGTTCGACTTCATCATTTGTGATGTGATCTTTTTATGAGATACTAAAGACTTTTCGGAAGTATCTCATCTCCACAGCTTTGATCCTTCTTCTTTCAAGGTCTGTATTCAAGGTCCAGGATTCACATGCATACAAAAATATTGACATGACCAGGGAACGAATGAGTCTGATCTTTGATCTGATGGTGATATTTCTGTCTTTCCAAACGGTTTTTTACTTGGTCATTGCTGATGAAGTTTGCCCTATTCTGGAGAGTATTTCTGGTTTTGGTCCTTCGTCTGTCACTATTGCACGTAGGTATCTGAAGCTGCGTACGGTCTCGAGCTTCTGATTGTTGACTGGATGTCCACTGTGATGTTTTTGCTGCTATTAGACAATCTAACACTTTTAAACTCGAAAATAGTTAAAATGCAGTTAAGAATTATTTCTTTAACTACATCTCCAAGCTATGGGATAAAAACTAATCTACTTCACTTCACTTTCACCTATCCCGAAGAGTGGATGTTCGTCGGGGCTTTTGAAGATTTGACCACCAGCTTCCTACACTCCTTCCGCTCTTCAGAGCGTGTCTTTGAGGTCCAGGCCTGTCCATTCCTTGATGTTGTCCTTCCAACTCTTCGTCGGTCTGTCTCTGCTCCTTTTTCCCTGGACGCTGCCTTGCAAGATCATCTTGGCAAGGCCGGATGAACGGGTGATGTGTCTATGCCATTGCTGTTTGCCGTTTGCGTTTCCTGACCAAAGTGAGAAGGCCAGGGTATGGTCCAATTGCATTTTTTAACCGTTGTTTGACTTCATCATTTGTGATGTGATCTTTGAATGAGATACTAAGGATTTTTCGGAAGCATCTCATCTCCACAGCTTTGATCCTCCTTTCAAGGTCTTCATTCAAGGTCCAGAATTTACATGCATACAAAAATACTGACATGACCAGGAATGCATGAGTCTGATCTTTGATCTGGTTGTGATATTTCTGTCTTTCCAACTGGTTTTCAACTTGGTCATTGCTGTTGAAGTTTGCCCTCTTCTGGTTTTGATCCTTTGTCTGTCACTATTGCACGCTGGTATTTGAAGCTGCGTACGGTCTCAAGCCTCTGGTTTTGACCTGGATGTCCATTTTCTTGCTGCTGTTAGACAATCTAAAACTTTGAAACCCGAAAATAGAAAATCTAGTTAAATTGCTGTTGAGAATTATTTCCTTCACTACATCTCCAGGCTGTGGGATAAAAACTAAAGTAAACAACTACCAACAAGCTTCACAGTGTCCACACTGGACCCACGAAAATCTTCTGGTCTTTCGAGAACAGACGAAGAAGTTTTTACTCGTTTACGTATTTAGATATATGCTTCCGTGACCCATGGATATCTCCTGCGTTGAGATTAGAAACCGCTCTGTGTCAGATGCGATACAGACTTAACCATTAGACACATTAGAATGTCCGGACTTTGGAGAGAAGTAAATATTTTAAATGCACAAAATTAAAAGGTCTGTTCTCCTTCGTTGATCCAAATAGAATTCTCAAATCTATAAAAGTCATTAGCCTGTATTCTAAAAAGTAGATAATTTTTGTTTTAAAATGTAAACATCTGTTTTTATTTTCTAATCTTTTTAAAACAATTTTTTTTTACCATGAGATGTTTTCCTTTACTTTAAAAGTAAAATAAAGCCGTGCAGTGAGCTGTTGTGAATGCAATCAACTTGTGTTTCATGCGTGCATGTGGCCGTAAGATGTTGCCAGCGCCGTAAAACTTTTATTAAACTAACTGCAGAGCGTTGCTCCATGATGTACAGCAGAGAAGGCTTCTGGATTCCAACTCCTAGATGGATCCGCCACGTGCCGTCTCACACACACACACGCGATACACAAATCAGAAAGCTACTGTCGTTATGTGGACACCAAAAATTCTGCACACACTCGAAGTGTGTATAGCGTTGTGTATAGAAATAACGAAATAACAGCGTTATTCGGACCGGAACCAAATTCAAAAATATTTTAACACATGATGTAATTTTTGGCGGGAAATGCGATGGTGACCTTAAAACATTATGTGGACGTCTACATAACGGGGCATGTCTACATAACGTGAGTGTGCAAATATACTTTTGTCTACATAACTACGCAAAGACACACACACACACACACACACACACCAGATAGTGCTGGGACGATACCACTATTTAGGACTCGAGTCTGTACTCGATATTTTTTCAAGGAATTGATTCGATTTCGATACCGATACCTAGTAGGCCTACTTGAACTTGATCGATAAAAACATTTTTCTTTACCAATACACACACACCATATCATCTAATGCCAGATCTACGACAGACATCGGCGATCATGGTTTTCCATTAATTCCTTTGCTCGGATGCTCTAAGAAAAGCTACGTTTCCCTGATCTTTCCCTGTTACCCATTTGTTTAGGTTCCCTAAGTACAGTCCAACCTGCCTACGGGAACCTGTATATAACGGAAACCTGTCTTAACGGAACCTCCCCGCTCCCCCTTTGATATATTCCTCTTTAATTACCTGTATAAAACGGAAACCTGTCCAACGCGGAAACGGAAAGAAAAATCCGCTCCTTTCCGAGGGTTTCCCCTGTCTAAGACGGTAAATGCTTTGCCCGGTCAGCCCTGATTTGAAACAAAACTCGCAAGTTTGGTTCCGCTGGCTCTAAACTAACGCTTTGGTCATGCAGCTGGCCGAGGAAGAGGAGTAGGGGTACAATTTGGGAGTAGATGTTACCCCATCACGTGAACCCTGAGCGATGCAGATGGTCAGTGTAGAGTGGGCGTGAAATCTCACGACTGCCCGTGAGAGTGCTCCAGTAGCGAGACCCTACGGAAACTTTCCTGGATCCAGAAGCCAGAGGTGTAAAATTAGATTGACCAATGCCTGCCGCCTGATTGTACGGCCAGCCGAGAAAAGACTTCCTCGAATCGTTGTTACAATGATGGCAGTAAAGTGTGGCATTAGTGGGTGGGGCTAAGGGTGGAAGCAAAGGAAATGTTCAAACGTTTCTGTTTTTAATAGGTCAAACAGTGGTCCTATGAAAGGCAAGCACTGGTGGTAATTGGATAAGTAAGACTGACGCATGTCATTATCAGACAGGATAGCAATTGAGAGGTGTGAAGTTTTGACCACTGCTTGCCGATCG